AGAGCAACATAGGTTATCGTTGCCAGTTTCTTGACTAGTTCAGTCTTCTTAGTGGGCCAATTGTGGTTCTGCAAACTATTAATATGCTTAATCTCTGGACTTTTAGACTGCTGATCTTACTGATGCCAACCTAGAGGGAGCTAATCTTGAAGGAGCCAATTTGAAGGTAAGAGATCCTTAAGCATGGCGTTTACAAATCGATTGCTTCGGCGTGCATATATCATTTTATTTATATGAAGTTATTAGGCACCAGAACAAAACATACTAGCACTTCATAACTCATTATAACTTAATTTTTTATGTGCGATAATTTATCTAGATATCGAATGAATTGTATTGACCCAGCATTTTATTGTGATATGTTCATTATAATTAACATGTTCTTCAGGGTGCGAAATTAAGCAATGCAAATCTGAAGGGTGCAAACCTCCAAAGGGCTTATTTACGACATGTTAATCTTCGTGATACGGTAAGTAAATAAGTTGTATAGTGTGCAATTTGCATAGTGGTGTTTCATCTAAAACTTTCAGACTGCATCATCGATGCGGATCAAATCGAAAGAGTTTTCACATTTGTTATGCTTTCCGGATACCTTACTGAAACTCTAATGGAGTTCCATATTGAACTTCTAGACTGCATCATCGACTTGGATGAAATAGAAAGAATTTTTACATTCTTTATACTGTTTGCAATTTCCTGGTTCTTTTATCAGCATTTGGAGGGTGCAAAGCTTGATGGAGCGAACTTGCTGGGAGCAATCAGGTGATGATGGGGCAAAACAATGTTAGTCGAACTAGCACGTCTGTTAGATACCTATACATGTTCGACATGGGTATTATCATATTTTCTTCAGTTTTTTAATGCATTTCGAGGATCTTTAGAGATTATATCTCTACGCTCCTGTTTCGGGAATATATTTTGTAAATAGAGTTCCTTATTGTATCCGTTTAATCGTTTTTTTAATGTTAATTTTCATGGAATTGTGTTTATTATATATCCGGTGTTGATGTGGATGGTATATTATTATGTAAAAATTTCTTGATTTTTCATGCCAAAATTCAATTTCAGCACGCAGCATATCAAGATTACAATGCAAATGAAATGAAAATGGCACTTGGTTTAATTTGCTCCAGAAATTTGGGTTCCTACCAAAATGGTACCGGCAACACGATAACAACTCCATAATGGTATGTCGGCAAGCAAGTATTTGTCCACGTATCTTTATTAATATCCTCGAACCTTGAGCCTTTTCTTGCCAAGATAAGTGAGAAATAATCATAATTTCTAAAATTAAATAATAATAATTTTAAATTACAAAATATTTATTTTTAAGATAATTTATGAATTTAAAGTTATTAAAGTATAAACCAACTTGTAATCGATTTAAAATTTGTACCTTATCAAATGAAAATATTTGTACCTATGTTGAATTAAGTTATAAAATCAAACATTTTCTTGTAGAGGCGGAACTTCAACATGATTAGAGGGGATAATAGTAGTATACATACCTATAAATTAATATGTTCATATTTATATTATTTGAATAAAAAATGAATCATCAAATTTAACCTTTTTTCTCAAAATAAAAAAATTAAACATATCAGGGAAAAGTTTAGTTAAGATCCTATGGGAGAAGAATTTAGCTTAATTAGTGCTGGTAAATAAAATTAAATATTATAATTTTAGAAATTATTATATTACTAATATTTTATTTAATATATTTTGAGAATATATATTTTTATTATTCAATAATAAAAATTTTCACCGAACCGGTTCATCGATTCAAACAAATATTTTCTTTTATAAGTTAAGAGTTAAGATCGGATCAGACAATAAAAAAACGCTCGAGAAATAATAAAAGAAAAAGGTTAGTGTGTTGTCAGAAACTGGTTTGCCACTAAAATGGTCCTGGCAACAGGATAACAACTCCTCTAATATACTGTCGGCAAGCGCCGTTGGCGTCACACGTGTCGCGGCGAAAAGTGATCAACCTCTATCTTTTTTATAGGAGATAAGTCCAAATTCACGGTTCAGTCAGGTAAAGCAGGTGTAAATTCTGAAGACAAGTGGGCCCATATAGGTGGTGGATTTACTGGTTTGGTTGGCAACAGTAGATTTAGATATTTCATCAGTTTAGACAACACAACGGCACGTGTAATAGCCACAACACTTGCTGCCAAAAATCGGCAGCATCGAAAGCCGTGTCATAGATTGCATCCTTTCTATTCAGTGCCCTATCACTTTGACTCCTTCTCCGTTTATTCTATCATATTTATTTATTTATTAAAGTGGCAGGATCTAACAATAGTACATACATCAAGTTCTCTAAAACATATAACTAAAACATAATTTGTTTTTTTTATTAAATATAGGTAAAAAGATTCATGAGGTCATTATATTTTTTCAAAATAAATTAATGTGTCCCTCAAAATATTTTTGTATTCAATATGACTCTCAAACATAAAAAAGAACTCAATGTAATATTTTGACAAATAATTTTCATCATTGAATGTTACAATAGTGATGTAGTATTTTATGATGTTGACTTGACGGTTCACGGTGATTGGTGACGTGATTGATGGGTTAAATTAAATATTTTTATTAAATTCGATGGTCAATTTAGTTTTTTTAAAGTTCATGTATTACTTATTTTTATAACATTATTTAAAATTTAAAATATATAAATAAAAAATAAATATACAAATAAAAATAAAAATAATTACTAAATATATATATATACACACATTAATCATTTTGATTGAAATTATTATTGTTAAATTACTCATTTAATTTAGAGACAAGTTATAATTTGAGTTTTATTTTATTTAGTACTATAATTATATTATTATGTTGTTATATGTCAAATTTAATGTGAGTTTAATTTTATTTTGTAAAGAAAATTTTTATATTTAAAAAAAATAAAAAAAAGCATTGGGGGTAACAAAAAAACCTCATACACATAGAGTCATATTCATGTTGAGTTTATAAAGTTGTATCCAACAAAAATTGCTCGATTTTCCTATTAAATTTTCTTGAGATCAAATTTAAGTGAAGTTTATTTCTCTCTATCATGTTATATGTACTAAAATGCTCATCTTAATTGTATAATTATTTTTTATATATTTTTAAATTGTTGAATTTCATTATAATTTATAAATAAATATTAATTTCACAATTTTAAATTTTATTTTTATAAGAATGTATAATATTTATTTAATTCAGTTTTATAAAAATTTAGTGCAATAGAATTATAAATACATTTGGAGTTTAAGATAATTAAAGGTAAATATATAAAATAAAATTTATGCAGGATGAATGAGTTTAGATTTATATAAATAAAAAGCAGGTTAAATTTAAAATAATAATAATATATATTTTAAAAAATATCAACTTAATTTATATTTTTAATTTAAGATATTCTTATTTTTTTAAAAAATATCAAATAAACCTTTAAACTTAAAAAAATCAATTTTACCTCCGAACTTAATAAAAAAATCAATTTAGCCTATTTATCACATCATTAACCGCATCATCAGTCATTGTGAACTATCACGTCAGTACCGTAGGTTGTCTCGTTAGTATCGTAACAGTTAACGATGAAAATCTTTAGTCGGAGGGCCACATTGATTTTTTCTTCTAAGTTTGAGGGCTACATTAAATACAAAAATAATTTAAGTATCGCGTTGATTTTTTCTAAAAATACAAGAATATCAAATTTTTTTTCCTTAAATATAAAATATTTTAAAATTTTATATATTTGAATTATTTTCTAAAGATATATAGTTCGATTTATGGAGGGTGGGTGGACCCTTCGAATCAAACTATTCGTCGAGTTTTAGAATTGGGAGAAAATAATAATCTAAAAACTTCATATTTCTTCCAGCAAGTATATCTTTCTGTCACTCATGTCTTTGATTTTTTTCAGCGTTATTATTACTTTGTTGGTTTTCATTCAACATAAGAGAAACGAATAATGAAATAAATTTACCTTCTAATTTGTCCCCCCCCCCTCAAACTTTTATTTTACCGCTTTTATCTTCAATAAAAATAATCGAATAACTACCTATAAAATCAAATAATTCTATATGTTGTGAAGATATACTATTTTGACAATACAATGGACAAATAGAAAAAATATAGTTATACTATTAAAAATGATATAAAGATCGTCAGTTATTTATTGGTAAAAAATTATCTCCTTTAAAAAAATTATTTATTTAGATAAAAGTTTTTAAATCTATTACAATACATAGATAATATTTTTACAAGTAAACCTTTTGATAAGTTCATACAATGTGTCAGAATCAAGTTTTATGTTTGATAAAAAAATATATCTAATTTGATCAACTTATGAATTATCATTATCACTCTAATACATTAAGTATCATTACAAAAACTCCAATTAAGATTAAAAAATGAAATTGTCTTTCTATATTAGATTGATCATCTATTTTCTCTTTTATAATCATTTTTTTTCAAACATCAATCTATAATCATTGTTTTGTTATTGATCACGAACGTTTCTCCATTTAAGTTAGAAGGAATAAATCACTCATAATTGATAAATTTATTTTATTTCATTAATATATATAAATCACAATGATTAAAATTAATTAATACGTCAAAGTCTCAAGACTCGCAAAATAACTAAAATAAATCAAAGTTAATATAGTGGATGACACACATACCGAGCACGATGTAACATAGATTTGGACGTTGGAAGTTCCAGCGACTCAAAATTTGCCAACACTTGACACCTATTCATATATTTAACCATTAAACTAATATTATTATTTTTAATAATGTATTATTTTAAATATTTGATAAATTCAAATAAACCATAATTTCCAAAAATAAATACGTTGCAGAAGGAAGGCCCACAATTTCCTCGAGACGAGAAAAGGGTACGAAGGTAATTTGAATTCTAGACGATGATAATCTTCTATAACGAAGAGATGATTATCTTTCTAGCGCCACTGATACACTGAACCCCCACCCACCTTGCCTTAATTTGCCTATAAATAGGAACCAAAATCTTGAATATTTTTCACACTCATATTCAAAGCAATCGAGGAATCGAAGTTTATTAAACAAACAAACCAAGTTCCAACAATGTCGGGAATCATGAACAAGATCATGGGAGGTGATCAAAAGAAAGAGGAAGAAAAGCACCTTGGAGAAGGTCACCCTGATGGAGGCCATGGCCAAGCCTATGAGCGCAAGGAAGAAGGACATTATGATGCTGGCCATGGTCACGGTTATGGCACGGGTATGACCGGTGGTACTGCCATGACCGGTACCGAATACAAGGGAGAGACCGGCCATGGTTATGGCACAGGCACAGGAACAGGCATGACTGGAGCCACGTACATGGGAGAGGCCGGTCACGGCCATGCCCATGGCGAGCAGCACAAAGAAGGCTTAATGGATAAGATTAAGGACAAGATACATGGCGACGGAACTACGGAACATGGTCAGGAGGGCGAAAATAAGAAGAAGGAGAAGAAGAAGCATGAAGGTGGTCGTGACGGCAGCAGCAGCGACAGTGATTAGACGTTCGCTATCGTCTCAGAATTCCTCTCCTTATAGTATAGGGTAATTATTTTTTGATTCATAATAGGAAAATATTATTTTTTTTACTGAATTTTGAAATTATCTTCATATAATATTTCGGTCATTTCCTTGGATCTAGCAAATGTAGAAAGAGAAAAAAAATACAGTAAAATAATTCAGTGAATTTTAAATTTTAAAAAATTTAAGAATATATTTTTAAGTGTAATTATATTTTTACTGAAAAATAATGTGCGAAATCTTTTGATTCCATCTTCTGATATAACTTTTGTGTATGTGTTGCAGGTTCATGGGATGAAAATATGGCTTATCATATGCTTTTACTTTGCGGAAAAAGAAAAGAAAAAAACATATTTGTATAATATTAGTATCGTGTGATGTATTTTGGCATGCTATGAATGAAATATGATACATGAGAATAAAATTTTGGTTTTTCTAATGTTCCAATTTGGGTGTATCTATATATATTATTACAATTTTATTATATGAAAAGATAATTAAATAAATTACTGAATAAGAAACGTTTTGAATAATATTCATATATGAATATACACATTAAAGTAAGTCCTTAAAGCAATCTAATTATATAGATACGCTAAAGTAAATTTCTAAATCAAACACTAAATATTTTGGTACAATCGAAGATCCTAACACGAATCTATATTAAAAAATTGATTTAATCTAATTTAATTTTTGAAATATTTTATAAATAAAACAAAATCATATTTATTTATTCTTATATTTTGATTCAAAATTATAAAGGAATGATTAAAACTAAAATAGTTTACCATGTAAAGAACTTACATGTCAAACCATCACAGGATTATTTTCACACGTTGGACCATATAATAATAATAATAAAACGTGGCAAATGACAAACCGGCAACACGTTAGATACACGAAAGGGGTATTAAAGTAATTTGAGCTGGAGACGCGGATAATCTTCAATAATGAAGAGAGAAGTTAATTACTAATTAATTTTCTAGCGCCACTGACGAGGAACCAACCTTCCTCAATTTGCCTATAAATACAAACCAAATTCTTCAAAGTTTTTCACACTCAAATTCCAAACAAACTCTCGAAAAACTATAGGAGAGTAATCCAAAAATGTCGGGAATCATGCACAAGATTGGTGAAGCCCTCCACATGGGAGGAGACAAGAAAGAGGAACAGAAGCACAAGGGAGAGGCTCATCACGATGCAGGCCATGGCCACGGCGGCGCCGAGCACAAGGGAGATGCCGATCACGGACACGGCAAGGGTGAGCAGCACAAGGAAGGCATAGTGGATAAGATCAAGGACAAGATCCATGGCGATGGAAGTAAGGAACATGGTCACGAGGGCGAGAAGAAGAAGAAGAAGAAGGAGAAGAAGAAGCACGAAGATGGCCACGAAAGCAGCAGCAGCAGTGATAGTGATTAGATCTTCCATAATGTCGTCTCGGTATTGATTAATTTTTTTAACATTTCCCTTTAAAATGGATATTTATGGTCCGTTGAAATCTTGATGGCCTTAGATCTATGTTGATTTATTAGATTTTCTGATTTTATCTAAGTTGAAATTCCGGGCATTTCCTAAGATCTAGCAAATGTAGGTAGACGGGAAAATAGAGAATATCAGCCGATTCTAATTTAGACTATTAATTAAGCATCTGAAGTTCAATTCAATTAGTAATTAATGTCTTTTTTACAGTAAAAATAATTAAATAGTAGTAAATAAAAAAATTGATTTTAAAATTGTGTATTGATTTAAATTGATCTAAGAATGTGTCTACTGCAATCACATAGACAAGTGAAAAAAAGTATTGGATAAAACAATTTTGATTACATTTTCTAATATAAATTTAATTGTTTTTGTAATGCAATGCAGGTGCATTGCATGGGATGAATGTGAAGGCTTGCCAAAATTTTATCTTTTCATATACTTTGACTTTGTGAAAAAGAAAAAAGAATCTTATTTTCTGTTTGATATTAGTATTGTGTGATGTATTATAGGAGACTGAATAAATTATGATGTGAGAATAAAAGTTTCCATCCTCTAAAGCTTCAAAGTCCGGATGTTATAAATATATATTAGAAACGATTATATTATACGAAAATAATTAAATAATTATTCGTATCGAATATGCAATTATATTATAAATGAATTATGATATTTGTTGCATCGTGCTGAAATTTTCAATGTTGATTCTTGTAAATGCGAAAACCTGAAGTTGTCGAATTGTTGGTAAAGAAAGGGGGCAAAATCGTATCGAATAGTTTCTATTTGTTGCATTGTGCCGTGGACCAACAAAGATGTTAAACCCTTGAAAATTGCGGATTCCTTAATTGCACTATGCGGGCTCACCAGGATACTGTTCATAGCGGAGCAATGACAACTGGTGGCATGCCAAGAATAGCCACTATACAGGTTTCGTCTCCGGGGAAAATGGGGAAATAGATTGAGACTAAGGCAGCGCCAATGAAGCGGAGACTGGCAAAGGCGAGAGCCGTGCGAGGAAGCTTTTAATTGATTGTTTGCCAGTGACAGTCATATATGTAGCTTGATGATCATATATCTTAGAGACATTAAATTGATTCCTTTTTAAGGAGAATTAAGTTTGAGAACTCGTTATTCAGAAATGTTAACTCCATAACCTGGATTTATACATAAAATCAATGAGTTTCTAAAGGGAAGTCGAGTTGAAATTGTTGATAATTTGCTTGTAAAATGTTCAGTATATGGTAGCATCAGAAATTATATCTTTTGTTGTTTGATTATTTTATGAGATTTTTCTATTATTATGAAGGGAAATCGAGTGAAATTGTTGATAATTTCGCAAAACTATTGAAATCAAACATTGCTATACATACGTATGTGTTTGTATATCCAAAAATATGAGAATCATTTCTTGAAAATATAATTTCTACTAAAAAATTTGACATGGAATGAGAATTATGAGATATTTAGTTGTATCCAACAACTATTTTTTGTTTGGTTTAGTCGTTGACTGACCAACTAATACTCTGTTTTGGTGATGCTATTTAGTTTGAAAAAAAATAATGGAGCTTATGAATATAGGGATGATTAACAATAATAAACTATATATTACAAAAGTTTATTATCGATTTTGATGTTACTAACACCAATTCAAATTGGTTACATAATAATTTTTAATAGGCACTATAAAGATATTTTTCTTTAGAATTTTTATTTAATAATTTTATGTTTTATATGAAATTTATGAATAAGTTGGTATCATGAATTAATTGGATTTTAATTTAGTTGGAAATTTAAAAATATTTATTGATTACCCACTAATATTTTAAGATTAATTTCTTATTTTTAATTCATTATATGCTAGTATATTTTTAATAAAGCAATTTCATTGTCTACAAAGTCAATGACTCAAATGATAAAGATAAAGTAATTTTTCAGGATAAAATAACATATTTGACTCTCAAAGTTATCAGACAAGATATTTTATTTTATTTTTTAAAAAAAATTCTCACCTCTTTTAGTTTTTAATTAATTAGTTTTATTAAATTGAATTTATTAATAGAAAATTAATGGTTTATTAAATTAATATAAATTAATTTTATTTAGAAATAAAGGAGAGAGGTATAAAAGGATAGGAAAGCCGAATACGTAACAGTCGGGGATTGGTGGTGAAAGCCGCCTAAGGACTTCAACTATATTGGGTTGGTATTTACAGGTGAAATTATGTCTATTATATAACAAATCATTAGACCAATGAATAATTAATAACTATATTATATATATTAAATATGTCAAATAATTAACATATTTATCATCTTTTAATTTAGAATAAACTACACGTTTAATATCTAAACTATTATTTTTATTTTGTTTTGGTACCTAAGCTTTATTTTTTCAAAACCATAACCAACGTTTAGTTTATGTTTTATTCTGATATCTCACCATTAAAAAATTAACAGATATGCATGTCATTTTTATGGGTAAATTACATCATTTATCACTCAACTATATTCTCACTCCTATTTTGGTCATTGAAGTTTAATTTTTTAATTTAATCACTTAACATTTAATTATTCTTATTTCAATCACTCTAAGTAATTTTATTAATATTTTTATGATGTGATATCTTTTAAATATTTTTTTATTAATATATGATTAAAATTAAAAAGGAAGGGGCGGATTGGAGAGGTCGGTAAGAATGATATCGTGAGGGGCTTGTGATTTTGAGATTATGGTATAATTTTAAATTTATTTATTTATATTTTAATTATATATCAATAAAATAATAATAAAATGTAATGTCACAAATATTAATAAAATAAACTAGAGTGATTATTACATGAGTAATTTGAAAATTGAGTATTAAATTGAAAATTTTTAAACCTTAATGACCAAAATAAGAGTGAGAAGATAGTTATGTGATGAATGACACCTCAATTAAATGTAATACTTTCTAAACGTTGCTCAATAGATAAAATATATTACATGTTTAAAAATATTCAAATTTACGTATTCCTAATTAAATGTAATAGTTTCTAAACGTTGCTCAATAGATAAATTCAGAATTACTTTTACAGTATTTATTAATTAAATTTTAGATTTTAGTATCAATAGCTGTGATCTCTTCACACGTCCCTCCGTTTAAAGAAATTCCATTGATTATAACAAAAAATCAAAGGTCAATCCTACTTCTAACAATGACAGCTTTAGCACAACTAAAACATGAAATTTAGGTAAATCTGTCTTTTAAAGTGTTTGTCATTGTTTGGAATCCTATACACTTATCACATACATTAAGACTAATGTCATTAGACTTACTAAATAAATTAGTAAAATATTAAAACAAAACATATAATAAGCTCTCGATTTGCTTTATATGGGCTAAAACTATAACAGCAAAACCCTTAACAAATAACAACCTTGTTAAGAATATGAAACTATTGACATTTTTATGGATAAATTATATCAGAATCTCTGGACAAAGGAACACCATTAATTGATTACTAGATCTGTAGTTTGTTGCATTTAGGTATTTTTATGTATTATAGTTAAATTTAAAATTTGATATATTGTTATATTTATTTAAATTTTGGTATGTACTTGGATTATATAATAATTATAATGTGATGCAGATGCGGAATAAAAAAGTTATGTTCTTGATCTGGGCACACAAATCATGAGGCTGGAGTGGTGGTTTCGACAGTTGTACATTGGGATCTATGTTACCACCGAATCCACCACCGACACCGTTTAAATGACGTGCCACACCCAATCCAGCGCAGTTTCCCATAAAACCAGCTTGCAAATTTTAACCTTGTTGCTTGGGGAAGTCTAAGTAGCTTAATTTAAGATTAAAAAAACATGATTATGTAATTTAAAATGTAATAAAATTTATAATATTTTAAGTAGAGTATAACTTAAAATATTATATGTTTTTAATATTTTCGATTAAATTACTATTTTTAATTTTAAATTAGACTACCATACAAAATTATACTTAGGCTTAGTTTGTTTTCATTGTGCAACCTCTTCAAACTTCTTATGTCTGCGCCAGACCACGCGCAGACATTAGGCTTCGCAGACCATTTGTTTTTTAGAAGACAGAAACTCTTCAAACGTCTGCACGAGCTCTTCTTGGTACAGACATGGTTTTATGTCTTCAAAGGTCTTTAAAGGTCTGCGGGAAAATTAAAATTATTTAAATTTATTTTAAAATTTATTTTAAAATATAGATTTATTTATTTTAAAATATGGATTGATTTATTTTAAAATATGGATTGATTTATTTTAAAATATGAAAAAAAATTATTTTAAAATATGGAAAATTTATTTTAAAATATGAATTGATTTATTTTAAAATATAGATTGATTTATTTTAAAATATAGATTGATTTATTTTAAAATATTGATTGATTTATTTTAAAATATGAAAAATTTTATTTTAAAATATGGATTGATTTATTTTAAAATATGAATTGATTTATTTTAAAATATAGAAAATTTTATTTTAAAATATGGATTGATTTATTTTAAATTATGGATTGATTTATTTTAAAATATGAATTGATTTATTTTAAAAAACATATTATTGTAGTTGTATGGATTATTTAAATTTAAGTATTATAAAAATAAAATTATTTAAATTTCAGTATTGCAAAACTCTTTTAATTTTAAAAAATCAGTTTATTTTATATTTCAGTTTATTTTAGCAGTATGCAGACATTAAAAAACAAACAGTATTCTTCTTGCAGACTGCAGACTTTTGGTCCACATCTTCTGCTGCAGATGTCTGCAGATGTGGTCCGTAAACTGCAAATGTCTGCAGATGTGGTCCGTAAACTGCAGACCTTTTACCTCTTCAAAAATAAACAACACTTTAGTTTGTAAGTATTTAATTATTTACAACCCTGAATTAGATCTCATTGCACCTAAATCATTTTGTACCTAAATACTTACAAAACAAGTAAGATAATTGTCGAAAAGTATAGTATTTTGTGAAATAAAATATTAACAATGATAAAAAAATTAAATAGAATACAAATTATATCATAACATATATTATCATTTTTTAAAATTAAACTAATATTGATGTAATCATTTAAATGAACGTTATATATATATATATTGTTCTGAAGAAAATGGATTAGATAATAATTTAATACGCCTATAATATTTATATATATTAACATGAACACAAATTAAACGAAACAAATAGATCTGGTAAATTTGATATATATTCAATTATTCAAATTGATTTACTTGATTTGAGACTCGATATAAATTCAAACATGATAAAAAATTAATCCAAAACTTAATTGAACTGAATCCAACTCAAATTTTAGTTGGACTGCAACCCGAATTTAGTTTACCTATGTCCGATCCAAATCAAACTACAACCCGATTTTAACCCGATAATTGAGTATAAGTGAATGAATAGTTTATTATTATTATTATTATTATCTATTTTTAGTATTAATAAAATAGTGAAATGATATATGTTTTATTCTCACTTTTTATTATACTACTAGTTAACTATCAGTTCTAGAAATAATTTAATGGTTCA